TACCTTTCAAACGACAAAGAAGACACACGCGATTCATCCACCACCAAGAAAGGTACTACATTTCTACTTTACAAATTACAAATTATCCACACCTATAATGTTCGTTCTCCTCACATGGTTTAGCACTCTATACAAGTATTTCATATGATACTCGTTACATATATAGCCAAAATTCATGTTTCTATCAATATATACCAGAATTCGCAAAGCATACACCGGTCGGTGCACATATAAACATGTACATATAAAGCAAACGCAATGTACACATAAGAAAATATATCTTTGTATCTACATATCTATGATATTGGTACATCGTGCAACCTATGAAACATCACACGACCCACCTTTATGGTACGGGAACGACTACATAGGTTTGGTTGTCCAGAAAATTATCGAGAACAAAAAGCTTTGTATACATATCATCCAAATGGTGAAACCTATATACAAATATTCATATGTGTGTATATGTTTCTGTATATATAGAGTAATATCACACAACACATCTCACAACATTGCTATACCTATACTTGCACAGATAACACAAAAGAACTTCTGGACATGGTGCTGGAAACCACCAGCGAGGAGGAACCTCTTGAATGTGGCCAACGCACACCCGAAAACACCAGGCATGGCCTCTCTGGTTACAAAATACCGAAGAAAAAACAACAGTCCTCCGCCCCTCTCAGAAAGAGGTCCGAAAAAACACACTCCACCAGCCAGCACAATAGTGGGACATATCAAGAGCAGAACAGCAAATTGACTGCCCTTATATCCAACAGCCTGGCGAGTAGCTTCTACCACCAGGACAAATCTGAAGAATTTCAGAGACACGCAGAGAAAGGTCGATATCCGACTTTTCTCTACCCGGAGGTCAACGTCCGATACAGAAACGATTTCTCGTCGGATTTACAAAAACAAGTGGCAGAGGCCTGTTGCACGTTCGCCAGGACCATGTGCAACATACTGGCCTCCCATCACGAATCAATGAGGTCATCGCAAGATGATCTCACACAAAACTACATAAACATGGCCAGAAAAAGATATCCCGGTGCATACGCTGGTATTGTATCGGGGGCAGAAACCCTGGCCATGGATAAACACATACGATACAAAGGAACCAGAGAGGTCTCAACAACAGGCAATAAGCGGAAACGCGAACGGCGTTGAACAATTTTGAACTCATAATTATACATATAACTTTAACAATATACATAAAAAAATTTTTTTATCTTATTTTACAACTATACTATCAAACCTCATTTACATTGTCTTCTATTGTTCTCGCTGCATACAGGATCCGAGGGTACACGTATATTCACGAATCAACATACCAAAACACGCCTTAGAAAGATCTTAGGCCAAAATAGAAAACATCGCGTGAAAGCGAAAACACAAAAATCATCAACACGCAAATACCTTTTAAACAAAACACAACAATCTCACAACGTGCGATACAGCAATATTGTCAATCTCAGTGATTTGAAACTTAATTCGTTACAAGAAAAGGTTTTAAACAAAGGCTTAAACTTCGTTGTCACACCGAAAAGTGTAAATATACATACAACATTACAATCATTTAATGAATTCAGAAGAAAAATGCTCCTACAAGTCCACTTCAAGGACACCAAAAGTGATACAACTGCCTCTCCATTTAGGGGGAAATCGAGTTGGGAACCTGAATCTGTTCGAAACCCCAACATTTACAAGTATCTTGATAACGTACACTCAGACATTTTAAACCTATACACACAAAACTACTACAACCCTCTAAATATTTCAAAAGAGGAGCAAGAGGCCATTCGTAGCCTAAAACAAATAGACAATATTTCAATAAAAAAAGCCGACAAAGGAGGCAAAATTGTACTATGGCCTAAAGACATGTATTTACGCGAGGCCACAAAACAACTTGATGATGCAAACTTTTACAAAGAACATCCAGTAGATCATACAATCGAAACATCCGCCGAGATTACAACTTTTTTAACACATCTCCTCCACAACTACCGTATTGATGAAACACTTTTCGAATATCTTACACCTAACACGAAGGTTCGAACACCGGTATTCTATTTGTTACCAAAAATTCACAAGGAGGGCATCCCAGGGAGGCCTATACTGTCGGGTTGCGGCTCCCCTACGGAGAAACTCTCGTCATATCTTGATCACTATCTTAGACCGATAGTCGAGGAAAGTGCCTCATATATAAAAGACACCACTCATTTTTTACAACAAATATTCGAAATACACACTAGCATTCCACCAAACTCGTGGCTGGTTACGCTAGACGTCAAATCTCTATACACCAACATCCCCCAGGACGAGGGGATCGAGGCATGCCTCGAGGCCATCCGGAATTATTATGGGGACACCCCGCCAATGCGTACAAGTTACATCAAACAAATGATGGTATTCATACTTAAACACAACTATTTTACCTTTAATGGTAGATTTTATCAACAAATTCAAGGCACTGCAATGGGGAGCCCCTTCGCTCCCAACTATGCCAACATATTTATGACAACTATAGAACAACATATTTTACAAAATGCCCCAATGGGGCGTACTCCAATGTTTTGGAAAAGATTCATCGACGATATAATTTTCATTTGGCCACACACCCTTGAGGACCTACAAAATTTTATACAATACACCAACACCGTCCACAAAACAATAAAGTTTGAAGCAAATTATTCCAATTCAAATATACACTTCTTGGATACAACAATAAACTTACACAAAGAGGGGGGAATTACCACCTCACTCTACCAAAAACCAACAGACACTTGCAATCTCTTACACGGTGATTCCTTCCACCCATGGAGTTGTAAAACTGGAATCATTTACAGCCAGGCCTTACGTTACAGAAGAGTGATCACAAGTGACGAAGAGCTATATTCAAAATTACAAGAATTAAAAAACAACCTCATCATAAGGGGATATCAGATCAATGATATAAATGAACAGTTCAATAAGGTCATTAGACTATCGCAATCGCAGCTACTTGAATCTAAACAAATAAATGACGGCAGTTTCTCCACACCGAAAGGCTCTGTTTTACCCTTCATTATACCCTATGACAACCGCACCATTCACATCCGTGAAATTCTCAAAAAACACTGGAATATTATAACAAAGGATAAAGAATTACAAAACATATGGTCAAAAACCCCCATTCTCGCCTTACAAAGGCACAACAACCTTGGAGATTGGTTAACTCATACTAAATTTTGAGCATCATATGACATTGTAAGATACCTCGATACCACACCATCAACATTACTATTATGTCACACCAGACTCCAATGCTTTTTCTATTCGCGATTTATCTGCATAAACAAGATATCCCAATTTTATAACCATTTGTCTATATATGCAACATACTTCTACATTCAAAGGATGATACATGCCTCTATGGCTACAATATACATATTTTATATACACTGCTACAACATATTAACACACCTTTGCTGGCATCATCCCTGGACGCAGGGGTGAGGGGGCACCCAGGTGTAAAAGAGCATACTGATCATAAGCCCCGAAATGCTCTGCCTGGTGGATTAGCTGAGGAGCTAGCAAGGACTCATAATCACAAATTATATCATACAGATGTGTATATATATGTATAGATATATTGATATGTTTGTGTACATATATAACACTCTGTATGAAAGAGAATAAACAGTATAGAATGCCTATGCTGAAACACGCCCCTTTAATGCGGGTACAGTACTTCAATAGCATACTGGCTCCCAGGTTTCGTTCGGCACAAGACTGTGGGACAGCGCCCGGTACAGCAGGGCTGCGGTTGGTATTACACCATTTTTTCTTAGTTTTCTGACAAGCTGAGCTTGTTATTTGTATGGTTTCAAACAAACGTTCTATCTTTATCGGGTCAGCGAAAATCTGTTTCAAATAGTCATTGCAAAAGGCTTTGAGGGAAGCATTCTGTGTGCCCATTCTCTGCAGTTCGAGAATATTTGTACGAAATAGTGTTTCTTTAGCGATATTGGCTCAGGCACCAATTTAATAGAACGCCATTAGAGTGTTTTCAAAAGCCCAGTCATGCCTCTTGTCCTGCTATTGTTTACAAAGAAAGAAGAACAGCTTGCTTACAAACCTCTTCTATTGTTCAGATGCAGCACCTTGCCGAAAAGGTTCACAATAATCACAATGTAAAGATTTGCAATTTCTGTTCACTAATCTCAAACATCTCTTTCTCTCCATATTTCCAACATTCTCTTTCGATGTCCCCTTCTGTTAGGTTCACTTTTGAATTTACAATACATTACCAATCTATTAATGGTCTTAAGGCGGGTTTACACGATCGTTTTTCCTTAAATTTTTTTTCGATATTGGACCTCGATGAATGACAACGATCGTGTAAAAGGCTAAATTGCTGAAAAAAGTTTGATGCTATCTGTGTCGTTTTTAATCCGCTTAATTGGCGATAATGATCGCCGGGTCAAAATAGAATCTCTACCATCATTTTTTTTCAAAGGGGCCGACAAATTCTGACGTCATGTCAGCCCCGGGGAGAGAATTTCGAGACTTTTTACTAAGTATTCGCGCGAAGAAAAGATTGGATTCATGCTCTGAGAACTAAAATAGTCGGGGAAGGTAGTTAAAACGGGCAGGGGACTATTTTTAGATAAAAAGAGGTTCGGGTTTCACAAGTTTTCTTTGAGAATGGCCCGTCATTAGCTACACATTAAAGGTTTTGAGCAACACAAATATAGAACAATCCATCCAATAGACAAAATGCAAATTTAAAAATTATCTGGACCTCGCCGGGAGCATAAAAATGTTCTGCGAATATTTCCCTAATTTTTTCGGCTTAAACTTTTGGCTTATTACCCTTTAGTCTAGCGAGTAAAGGTTCCAGAAAAGAGCCAGTGTTACTCTCCCTCCATCGCCCATCAATCACGTTGTCATCCAGTCATTTAGGCCCCGTTTACACGATACCGTTTTCATTTGATATCGGATTCGGTTTCCCAATCCGATATGCAATTTCTCCCTGTTTACACGATACCGTTTTCATATCATATCGGATCGGGGCTCTGTCTACACGAATACGTTTTGGGTGGGCGCTGCGGGAATTTCGCCTTTATTCTACATTCTCTGCGCAGTAGCATTTTGTTATTTTGCCAAGGAAGCCACCTAGGCGCCAAATCCGAAGCTTTCAGGGAACAAGTACTTTGCGAAATTATAACTAAACTAACTCAGTATGGGGAAAGAGAAAGCCAAAGAAGATATTTTTACATGGACTGATCAGGAAATCGAACTGTTACTGGAAACAGTAAAGGCTTATTCTTCGCAATGCTCATACGAAGGAAAGGATTGGGAAAGCATCAAATCAAAATATGACAAGATAAAAGAATTGTTTATCGAAAGGTACCCAAAAGAATCAGAGGAAGAATTTCAAACATCTTTGAATATTTTGTTTTTCAAAAAGGCGCCCAATGTGCAAATGAACACGAGACTGTTTCTGATAATGAGGCATCGTTTTCATTTCATATCGGATTCGGCTGTTTACACAAAAACAGAGGCATATCGGATTCATTTGAAAACGCATTCAGGTCGTTTTCATTTGAAAACGCAAAAACGGTATGAAGCATATCGGATTCATTCGTTCTCGTGTTAACAGAAGGCCAATCCGATATCAAATGAATCCGATATCAAATGAAAACGGTATCGTGTAAACGGGGCCTTAATGTGTAGCTAAGGACGGGCCATTCTCAAAGAAAACTTGTGAAACCCGAACCTCTTTTCATCTAAAAATAGTCCCCTGCCCGTTTTAACTACCTTCCCCGACTATTTTAGTTCTCAGAGCATGAATCCAATCTTTTCTTCACGCCAATACTTAGTAAAAAGTCTCGAAATTCTCTCCCCGGGGCTGACATGACGTCAGCATTTGTCGGCCCCTTTGAAAAAAAATGATGGTAGAGATTTTATTTTGACCCGGAGTCAAAATAAAATCTTCAACGATGGATCATTATCGCCAATTAAGCGGATTAAAAACGACACAGATAGCATCAAACTTTTTTCAGCAATTTAGCCTTTTACACGATCGTTGTCATTCATCGCGGTCCAATATCGAAAAAAAGTTTAAGGAAAAACGATGGTGTAAACCCGCCTTTACTCCATTTCTGTCTGGCAGTTGCTTGATGACGACCGGGCCTGCGCTGCTCCTCCACAGGACACCTGCCAAACGAGGCACCTTCATCATTATTGATTCCAGTGCCATTCACATTATTGATTGATGAGTTATCATTAGATATTTACACTCACAATGAGGTTGCTTTTGTCCGGGTTTTCCTTCCCTCGGGTGTTTTTAATTTAACGTGACACCATCACTAGGGGGGTTGCCAACCAAGGCTGAAGAGTCCCCCCTACCCATGAGACAGACTAGTCCCCGCCGGACGCCAACCCGGTATTTCATGGCCTCGGGGAGAGCTAACAGGTGCTACGCCGTGGTCAACGGTGACCTGGAGGTAGTTGTGGCAAAGGGTAACTTTATTCGCCCACATCGAAGCTCCACAACCGGATGCAATTTAAAGTTACACACAGGACCATATTTATTATTATTATTACCCAGGACGAAGAATACCCAGGACAATAATAATAAAGTCATACCCAGGACATTATTATTGTTATTATTATTATCATTATTATTATTTTGTATTCTTATTCACAGTATCGTTGTAATTTTCTGGTTTACGTCCTACCAACAGGCTACTTCCCGTAGCTTTAGTAGATAGGGTACTACAGTCCAAGTAATCTTTTCTTGTTGTTATCATTTGTTCTTCTATTTCGTGTCCAAAACTTTCCTTAGTATTCTTGATGTTCCCAGAAGGCAGGTCCTTTGCACTACTTCAATCCAAACTTTGCACTTTAGTTGCTCTAGGTAATTTTTGAATCTTTTGGTCACTGAGCCTAACGCTCCGATGATAACTGGAATGATGAGAACTTTATTGACTTCACCTTTATAGACTTTGAATATCTCGTACTTCAGATCGCAGTAAGCATCTTTCTTTTCCATTTCTTTTTTCTCAATTCTGGTATCGAAGGGACATGCCACGTCTATTATATAACATGTTTTTGACTTTTTTTCAATGACAACTATATCTGGCCTGTTATGTTCGATTTTAGACTCAGTTTGAATGGAGAAGTCCCATAGAAGTCTAATTGCTTCATTTTCTAGTACAGCAATTGTGTTATCTACAAAGTGATCGTTGTTCTTTGATCCGCAAGGAAATCCAAACTTGTGGCACAGATGCCAATGTATCACAGCAGCCACTTTATCATGAAGCCATTTCTTGTACTCATTTTGTGCCAGTTTTTTACACTCCGAGACAATGTGGCTTATAGTCTCATCCCGCTCCCCGCACATTCGATACATTGCGGATCCTTGCCTTTTATCTATCATAACCGATATCCAGTTTGTTCTAAGTGCAATGGTTTTTCGCTAAACCTTTCTTTTCTGTTTTCAATGATCACTTTCTTCTTTTCCTCTGGGCTTTGTCTCTCTTTGATGATATTGTCTTTGCGCACTTCTTTCAGTAGTTGTTCTTGCTTAGTATTTATATAATATCCAAGGCTATTCTCTTCTATAGTGATACAATCCTCTATACTAATTAGCCCCGACCTCCTTCTTTTCTCTTCCAATACAGTCTGTCTACATCTTTCTGTGGGTGCATGCACAGGTATACAGTTAGCAGTTTTCGTGTTTCCTGTCCATTTCTCGTAAGTCTTCCTTTGTCCAGTTTACAATTCCTGCGCTATATCGCTCTGTTGCAACTGCCCATGAATTTATTGACTCGATTGTATTCTTTCCATTAAGACTTGCTTTTAGAACCTTTCTTACCCTCCTGAAGTATTTTTTCTTGGTCATTTGTTTCATTTCGTTGTTCTTGATATCATCACTTTGAAGAATGCCGAGATATTTATATCCCTCACTTTGCTCCAAAGATCTTATCTCTGCTCCATCTGGTTATGCTATGCCTGAACTTTCCACAATATGACCTCTTATCAGCTTAACCATTGCGCATTTTTGGATGCCGAATTCCATACCGATATCTTCACTAAAGATTCTCACCGTCTGTACAAGTGTGTCAAGCTCTTTTTCATTTTTTGCGTATAGCTTCAGATCATCCATAAAGAGAAGATGATTTATCTTGCCACGGTCTATTCCAAGCTTATATCCATCTCCCATTCCATTCAACAATGCAGATAATGGTATCAAACATAGAACAAACAAGATTGGAGATAAACTGTCTCCCTGAAAAATCCCTCTCCTAATATTCACCATTCCTAATCCATCTGTACCGGATGTTAACTCTACCTTCCAGGAATTCATAGAATTTGTTATCAGTCGCCCAACGCTTTCAGATATCTTAAACATTTGCAGACATCGTTTGATCCAGGAGTGGGGCACCATATCATATGCCTTCTTGTAGTCAATCCATGCAAGGCATAGGTTTGTCATTCTCCTTTTGCAGTTCTTGATAACCATTTTATCGATCAAAAGCTGGTCTTTAGTACCCCTACTATTTCGCCTGCAACCTTTCTGTTCTTTCTGTACTATTATTATCATTATTATTATTATTTTTATCATTATTATTATTATTATTATTATTATTATTATTATCATTATTATTATTATTATTATTATTATTATTATTATTATTATTATTATTATTATTATTATTATTATTATTATTATCTCAACTCTTCTCATGGTCTTGATGGTATACCAGTGTTTGTCTATGATCAGGCCACCCCCGTGGCTTAAGATAATAGATCTTTAGTCTTCCATGCAAACAGTCTTTCTTTTCCAGCTCTCTATTTCGTCTATTTGCTGTAATCCAAAACTTTTCTCATTATTATTATTTTATTTATTATTTATTATTATTATATATTATTATTATTATTATTATTATTTTATTATTATTGCTCTCCTTCTAAAGATTCTTTGCACTCATATGATTTATTAAATGTTATAACTTTTGTAAAAATTAGTAAACTTGTCACCAGGCTAGCCGATGTAACTACCTGTAAAGTGAGTGTACTGTTGTAAGTAGAAGAATATAAAATAAAAAATGTTTTCATTATTATTATTATTATTATTATTATATTGAAAATGAAGTCAGCAGGATCTCCATGCCCTTTGGACAAGATTTCTATTATTTGTTTCAAGAGATGCCCTTACTCTCATTTCTGACTGAAATAATACGTGTTGTGTGGACCACGGCCACGTCCTAGCGAATGGAAAAAGCTTGTACGTTTTAGTCTATAAAAAGACAGCATTGATGATCCGGCAAACTTTCGACCTATTACCCTCGAGTCTGTACCGCTAAAAAATATTTACCTCTTGCCTGGTGATGCTCTGTTTTCCTTTCTCAAACAAAATAATCATTGAACACGAGATCCAGAAAGGGTTCACTCCTAACATCTCTGGAGTGCTGGAACATACTTCACTGATGGCCCATATTATCAATAAAGCACGCATAAAGCAACGCTCTGTGGTTGTCACTCTTTTGGATTTAAAGAACGCATTTGGAGAGGTCCATCATAACTTAATCATTAAAACTATGGACTATCATCACATCCCTGCTCACTTTCAAGATCTCGTGTCTAATCTTTATACTGATTTCCACACTTCAATTATAACCGATAATTTCAGGTCTCCGGCCATTCCAGTCAAAAGAGGAGTACTGCAAGGGGACTGCCTCAGCCCTCTCATTTTCAATTTATGTTTCAACACCTTTATTCAGCTGGTAAAACAAGACAAATATAAACAA